ACAGAAAACCAGCCATTGACAATATGCTTATTTGAAAATTAATACATGAAATATTGTGCATGTGTAGGATTTTTTTGTCATTAACCCATAGGCAACGGCTGGTGCAAAAGTACCGACAAATGTTTGTTGATATATTCGAAATGCAAATTTAAACAGAAAAATTCATAAAAAACATAATAATAAAACAAAAGTATTGTTAATTACTACATGGGAGGTGGGCGTAGTTATTGACAGATTTCGCCAAAATTCAATACTAACCTAAATTATACCAAAGGCAACTTCGGCACCGACTTTCGTTAAAATATCTAAATTTTGTTTGAGTTAGCGTATTTACAAACAGACACGGCTGAACCAATTCTTCTCGTTATCGATGATCGTTGTGACCATTTTCCAAAGTCAGCCCTTATTCATTCAATTATTCACTCAAAGTTGTATCCGGAACGCGGTATGACTTATGTAGGAACTACATTCGGTCACAATCGCTAACGCTTCACTCCCGATTTTCTTGGAATTTTATTTTCCCCGTTATTTTATTTTATGTGACTTTAAAATATTTTTCACTATAAGAAAATATTAAATTTGATTTCATTTGGGTTAACGCAAACGACAACTCCCTGCAAGACAGCTGAGCATCAAATAAGTGCTCATTTTATCATTATCACTAATTACAAAAGTGCTTATTAAAATACTCATTTTTGTTCAGGCGTTAGGATAAAACTGAGCACTTTCCCCTTGTTGGTGTAATATTTTACCTATTCTTGCTAATTGAAAACTTTAATTAATGAAAAATATATCTGCTCTGCTCTAGAAACTACCAAACTGCTTATTTTCGTTTTTATAAACACATCAGTGCTAATGAATAAAGTACTCATTGTTGTCGTTATAAACTCCTCAGCACTAATAATCAAACTACTCATTTTGGTCGTGATAAACTCCTCAGCACTAATAATGAAACTACTCATTTTTGTCGTTATAAACTCCTCAGTACAGGTAAAAACAAATAAGTAGAAAATCAAAATTTTTACTTTTAAAAATAAATTGGTTTATTTAAAAAATTTTTATTAATACAAAACTCTTATAGTACATATGTGCAAACAAATAACATACTTTGTACATATCGATGGTCCTGTGCAATAGCGACACAATTCAAAATTAAAAAAATAAAACCCTTACTACTGTTAAGTGGCTCATATATCTATCTAATCCATGTCGAATCCATGTCTAATATTTAGTACTTACTTTAGCAATCCTTACTGTTTACTTTAGAAAAGGTTGGAAATGGATTAGACGAGGATTACAGACAAGAGCCACTTAACAGTAGTAACAGTTTTTATTTTTTGAATTTTGAATTGTGTAGTTATTGCAGAGGACCATTGATGTGGATGTGTATAACATTGCTGGTGCCGGCGTTGAAGGTGATGTTGGTGGTGGCCTTAAAGTAATAGTGGCGATGTTGAAGGTGATTTTGCTAGTAGAGGCGTGGAATGCTGATGGTGCGATTTTGCTGGTGCCGGTGTTGAATGATGATGGTGGCGATACTTCTGGTACCGGTGGTGAAGGTGATGGTACGATGTTGGTGGTGGCATTAAAGGTGATGGAGGAGGTGCGTGCGACATACGCTGTGGACGGCGTTAAAGATGATGGTGGATTTTAATTTTAATTGTTGCAAATCTGTAATAACGAGAAAATCAGTTAAAATGCACAAATTAAGTAATTTACATATGTATGTACATACCTTAAAAATAATGATGCAAAGTCGACGGCAACGGCAACGGGACATAAAATGAAATTTGAAATATCTATAAAATTATAAAAAAAATTTGATCAAATGTGACATTTTTCGTCAAAGCCTACTGTCATAAAAACTGCCATATTTCTTACTCGCTTTAACGCACAGAATTCCTATAAAAGTAGGAATTCCGCTCTAGCAAATGAAAAATGTTTCACATTTCGAATACCAAATTTGTAAATGTGTGCGTGTGATAGCTAAAAAGTTGCCAAAGTGTGTGTAAAGCTGTCGAATTTGAGGGGAAACTGCTCAGCCATGGCTTGCAGGGCTGTAAAAAAATATCAACCAATACATTCAAACAAATTGTCAAATAAGCATATTTACATTTTTTGTTTTGCCTATCTGGATTACTGTATACTGTGCTTAAAATCACTTTTTCATATCTATTCACACACATATCGTCGTTACCATGTCAAACTTTCGAATGAGCAAAAATGCTTTTTCAAATACGATACCTTGCGCATGCGTTTAGAATGATACGCAAGTTGGCAATCGTCAAATTTCTAGTCCTTTTAGAAGCAGAAGATACTGGCTATAACAAAGTGTCGAAACCCACACTTTTTTTTTAATGACAACATTTTTTACAGCAATTTTTTTTGCACTCCTGAAAAATACCCATTCTCGCATTCGATAGTTTGACATGGTAGCGAAGATTTATGTAAAAAAAGTGTGCAAAAAAGTAATAACAAACAAGTAAGAGCAGCGCTGTCTTCGGCTATGCCGAAGGCTTCATACCTTTCATGAACATCTGCAAATTTTACTTTGACAGATTACTGCTTTTGAATACATCTGCATACATCGATAGAGGAGTTACATACTTATATAAAAAATCGCATCTAAACAATCAGAGGTATGGAAGATATACTTTATATGGCACCATTCTAAGTGATTTTCACTGCTATGTGATCGGTATGTAAACCGGTAACACAATCTATTGGGTTTAGTTTCCTACATAAAGGAGATATATGGCAAAAACTGGTATCTGAACAATCAGTGCTATAGGAGATAAAGCTTATACAGCATAGATTTTGATGATTTTCTCAGTAGACTTTGTATTATTATTTATAAAATATCTTACGAAATTTATCGGTTTTAACTGTTCAAATAAAGGAGTTTTACAGTAAAATCCCATATCTGAACAA